GTGTAGTAAACAATGTCATATTTCTTTATGTTAAAAAGAACAGTGATTATGAAGTTATAGAAATGATAGATTTCTGAATAATGGAGTAATGCAGATGTAAATATAAATTACATTTTAAAAGTTTTAGAGCCCGGTTAGCGTTTGTCAATTTGCGTCACTTTTGACGTAGGTGAGTTGTCCATTTCTCAATCGAAGGGTGTACATGATTTACAGCAATCCTGTCTGTTCTACTCTATAACTATGAAAAATTATCTGTGAAAGTAGAAGGCGTACATACGCTGAAGAATATCGAAGTATTGCTCACATTTTATGGAATGGACGAGTACGCGATATTAAGGTTAGGTAAAGGCTATTTTTTAAAAGTGACAAGTCGGCTGATGAGGTATTGAGACTTCATTGCCTGAGGTGATTAGAATATGTGTCACGTATGCCTAACCATCGCCTACCTCGACGGACGATGCTTCCTACTGTAGAGATAAGTTGTAAGAAAGCTAGGCGAAGCTAAATCAAAACGTGTCGTCAGTCCGTGTAGTCATTGACTGTTGGTTTCAGGCATGTTAGGAGATGGAGATTATCTGGTAAGGCTCTGTGAGATAATTACGATCAGAATTTGGACACATCGGGTAAAACGGTTCAGAATTGTTCATTTTAGTATAGATACATTCACTCTATCTTCCTATCGATCTTGGGTTCCAAGACTTTACTGATACTAGCTAAGCTCAAACATGGTCCATTAAAACCCAGACTTTTAGTGTCTAATGCACAAGGCTAATCTATAAATACAAATGAATTTCTAATTATGTCATCTTGCTTGTAAAAGTAGCAAATAAATTTTTGGTTGACCTATCAAGTATTAATGGCTGAAATAGAGAATAATACGATGTATTTTGAAGTGATTGTACGGTCATTTGAGACATACAGTACCAGCCGTAAAAAGAATAACCATTCTCCACATGCCATCTTAAACTAACTGTCGTATCCATCCGTAGTACAGTTAATGCAACTTAGTTATTGAAGTTTAAGCCATACTATTTTACATGACAGCCACTCAAAGTGAAGTACACGATTTTTATTTATTTGAACACATAAGTATTGGTACAAAGGGGCATCGAGTACATATGCGCCATACAAGTCTCTCGATTTGTGTGTGGGCTGTGTTACGGCCTGAATACCCAAACCGAAGCAGGTGGTTTTCTTAGGTCACACCCAGAGCCTTCGACCTAAATGTCTGATCCACAACGCAGTGGAGCAACATCAGGAGATGCAGTCCCATGGTAGCCGATGATCAACAGTAAGTCTGTACGCCATTTGTTCACTCAAGATTCTGGAGACCATGTGCACCATCGGTGTTGAGTAAGGGTTTTCCAACTCCCCTAGGTGGATTCTCTCTATCCACCAACCTGGTTAAAGCGCCAGACATTCGCTTTCCGTCCTCTCAATTCCATAAACAACAGTAATGCCGCGAGAAGGCAGTGAGTAAGACTCCCTTGGTAGTGGTTGTATACGCGTGGCCATGTGAGAGCGTTTCGAGAGGGAAAGCTAACTCTTCCCACTTCCGGCCTTACCAGGGCATTTGAGGGCTACACGAATGATTGTTTGAACCTACAATTGAACGATTGCAAGTAGAATGCTTTAATCCCTCAACCACCACTATTTGAATGCATAACCTGGTTACTGATAAGCCAAGTATCTAATTTACAATTTATATTTTATAAAGTTCATTTAACTTATTCGAACACTAGATGTAATACTGTCAAACCATAGACTATGAGATGTTACATAGCAGTCGTAAATTCACTACAATGTTCCCCAATGGATAATCTCAGTAAAAAAGAACAACACAACAACAGATCACATTGAAATCGGACTAAATCCAAAGCCAACTATATGTTCAAAGTAATTATTCATTATTATGAATAATCAACAGTGAATAATTTTCCAATAATAATAATAGTAACTTAGATACAAGGACAGGAACAAGAACTAATATAAAAATGCACGAAAGTATGAAATGCATATGATATATCTAACCTATCAGTGAGATGATAGGGGGGGACATTTATATTGATGATATTGTGTTCAGGAAATATGATGAATATTCTTATCTATAGTAGTAAACCATTCAATTTCAAAGAACAAAACTTGATCTAAATCATCTATCACATATATCTCATTTGAATAGATCTAGATGGAAAACAGAATTTCATGTAAGAGAACTATCTACAATCAATCTATTCATGATGATGATGATGATGATTGTCTTGGATACAATATATTAGTAAACATATGTAAAACTTGTTTAATTTCAATTGGTGTAATAGGTGATGTTAAATTAATATTTAATTTTTGTCGATTAAATAAAATCATATCAATTATATCTAAGATATCACCATTTAATAAATAAGCAAGTATATGTAAACCTTCATGAGGTGATGATGATGAGGATGATGACCCAGATGATACTGTCGAATCGATGGTCAAAGAAGGTGATGACAACGAAGAGGAGAAGGAGGAGGTCGTCGTCGTAGTAGTAGTAGAACATGTCATACTATTATGTAACATTTTCAAATATTGTTCATTGATAGTTTTCAATGTAATTTTATTTTCATCATGATTATGATTATTATTCAATGTACAATAGTAAAACCAATAAAGAAATTTTTTTAAATTACATGATTTAGTTAAATTTAATAAACTAGCTGATTGTCTTAAACGATGAAATGATAAAAATTTCTCAATAGATTCATTACATGTCATTAAATCAATTCTTGTTAAACGTAATAATTTACCTTTATATAATTGATAATAAATTTGTTTGAATTTCAATGGATACAATTGCCAAAATGAATTATCCTTATGATAATGATGATGATGATGATGAATAGTTGGTAAAGGGATAGATAATTGATGAAATAATTTATTTAAACGTATCCAATTTGAATTGTTATGAGGGAGAAAAGAATTGAAACATTTAGAATTAGGCAATATGTGATTTGGTTTTCTTATATTCTCATCATCATCATCGTCGTCGTCGTCGTCACGACCGTCATCATCATCATCGTCGTCGTCGTCACGACGGTCATCATCATCATCATGATTATTGATACATGATGATAATTGTTTTTCATTCATTATACCTAATCCATTTGTTTTAATAAATGAACTAGTACATATTGTACGAAAATATTTCACAATTCTAATTAAACGAATAGGTTGATGTTTGCATAAATTTAATAAATCATATAATTCTGGTAATTTAGTTATGGATAAATAGAATAACATTTGATTAGCATTTATACGTATATAATCATAAATTAATTCTAATACAAGATCAGATGTATGAAATGATTCACCGGAACTAATTAAAATTTTTTGTATGATCTCTTTAATAGAAGATTTTAAACAAGTCTGTAAAATGAATGTTATTTTTTAGAAAAAAAAAAGAAGAAAAAACAAACAAACATGTTTACGACAAAACAACTAGAAAAACAGAAACTACATCAAATTGAATGTCAGTCAGTCAGCTACAACGTAGGACCAGGCACGCATATGCATCGGTTCAAGTTGCCATACCTCATTAACACAACGAGATGGACACCGGATTCACAAAAGTAGTCAATTCAGTTGTGGTAATATATAAAAGATTGTGTATAAGGATATAGTACAGGAAGAAAGAATTAGTTGGTAGAAAAAAAGATATGAAGCAATTTTAATCTCTTAGTTTAAGGGAAGACAGGGAGTGTATACACCGACGCCATTGTGATCGATTCTGAGCCATGTCACCAAGAGTCTCCAATCATTGGTTACGATAGTCACGCGGACCCCAACCAAGTAGTCTGCATCTACCAACATGGCTCAGACTAGAAGTTAGTGACTTCAAGCACTGATGCCACATTTTGGTTTGGCCGCCCCTAACTTTCTTCCAACCATCTCCAACACCGGTTAGCATTGCACGTCGTGGTAATCGGTGTTCGGGCGTACGTAACACGCGGCCCAACCATCTCAGTCGATGGAGATTCACAACCTCATCAACTGATTTACCATCATTTCCTAATACCCTGCGTCTAACCTCACTATTACTTATCCGGTGATCCCAGCAGACGCCATCAATATCGAATGAAAAACAAACAAACAAACAATGGGATAATCGAAATGATAATAGAATCAGGAAGGATCAGTTATCAAATCTTAATTAAATGGGTGTTGGAAAACCAAGTTATCATTTCTATTACTAATCCTTCATCTCATTTACACAGTAGAATTTTATGTACTTAGCATTGAATCATTAAATTGTATCCCGAGGGAAATTCTGAAGGAGAACAGAGAAGAGAAAGACTAAATAACGCACTGCATCGTGAATCAAAAGCACAGGAAAATAATTTTCCAGAACACAGTTGGATGGAGAATGTTGGTGAGTGGCCTATGCTAACAGACGTAAGGAAGTTTGAATCACAATATTTTTTGAGGGGTAGTAATCTTACAAGTGGCTAAAAGGAATTAAGTCCGATGAGACTTGAAATCATTCCTCAAATGAACAGATTTCGAAACTAGGACCTAGAGCTCAAAATTCGAACGTCCTAACAACTAAGCACTGACAGATTTCAGTCTTATATATAGATCTTTTATATCAGAGGACTATATCATAACGTGACCAGTTGTTCGCTTTGTACACTCAGTCCCTGCATCGGTAAATAATATGTGATGTGAAAGTCGGCGAGATGACATGGTCAAGTAGGTTACATATTCGAACTCGACCACCCTATCTTAGTTCAGCTAACTACGTGGTATCACTGACACTCACATCTAATTTGAGATCTGAAGTTCAGTACAGAGATCTCTATTTGGCAAATACACTACTTCAGTATCGGTTAGAATTGTTTATTACTACACCTGGTTGTGCCTTAAATTGAATGCGTTTTTTTAGAAACAAGACCACTGGGATACTGTATACCAAGTCAATGAAAACATAACAGTTATAAATACGTAATTCATAAGCCTACCATTATACAGTGTCATATAAGACAATGAGGGAACCAGGGAAATTCACGAGGTGTATATAGAAATAATTCTGTAAGATAGATATTTCAAAAATAATTTGTTTTCAACGTCTTGATTAATATTTCGGTCTTTCTGTAGAAAACAAAAAAGTGACACGAGTGAAAATCATATACAGTGGATAATCTAAAAAAAATTTTATTCTGTAATTTAATATAAGGCACTTAGTTCCCTTGAAGGACTACTTTCTCTGAACTTTGGGTGGGAATGTTTTATCCGTCAGGGTGAAGCAACACTAAGAGGTAAGATTCCATTATTAGTCATGATAAGACCAGGTTCATATTTCACTGGTCTGTCCAGATCCTGGGGCTGACAATACACGATAGGTAAGCAACCAAGGTTTTTAAACTCCGTTGCATCAACACGTCTGCTTAATTTTGTGAAGTCGGAGAGTAGAGCTTTCCTGGAAGAGGCTATAATGTGAGACCAAGAAAGTTTTCAGTGGTCAAACTTCTATCCAATGACTGCTGTTAAAGAAAAATAACCGTTAAAAAGAATTAGGGTGAAACTATAAATTATGGACGACCTTTGAGGGACGCAAAAGTGACTTTGATGATGTCCACCTATTAGCTAGCACAAAATGAGAATTACAAATAGTTGCGATGAATCAAAATTATGACTCGCAGTCGATAGTTGGGATTAAGAATTAGATTCAGGGCTTTCATCACAAACTGACATAAGCTAAAATGCCAAAACGCTATTTAGCCAAATGGATGAATGAGTTACGTGCCAAAACCCAGGACCGTCCGAGCTCCCAATTTTGAGGAAAATTTGACCCATTTTGGGGAAGCCGCTATAGTGAACTTTAGGGGAGTTTTGAGGTTTTTGTGCCATCTCCCCAGACCTGGAGAAATTCCCCAATATTTCCCCAAAACTCCCCTTTAACCTTGGTCAAGGTTATCTGACTTTGAAAATTCCTCCAAACTTGGGAGCTCGGGCAGTTATCTTACATGTGACTAGCTTTCCCATAGGTTATAGCCTCACCAAATTCCAAGTCGGCTGAAGACGCCTTGCAGACTGTTTAACAGAAATCATTGTCCTCACATTCGGAGATTAACAGAAACACTAGAATGAAATACTTCTGTACATACCAACAACTGCCTTAAGGTTCGAATGGGCCGATAAGACACTGGATATCTCAAATAGGTTTACATTTCCGAGAATTTTTGATGGGAATTTAACACCATAGTATCAGGAATTACCAAATATACTCACTTAACACGGTAACCACCACTCGAGACGTAGCGCAAGTCGATATAAAGCGCGGCTTTAATTCAAAATACTTAGGCTTATACAACGTTGAAAAGATACTGTTTTTAGTCATTAAAAATATGTGCAGTTTTGTAATGGAAAAATTCTCGAAATTTGCCTGCAATTTCTTATTTAACGGCAACTTTTAGTATTTGATTACATTTTAGGATTAAAAATGTCCTCACCGTCTATTCTGCTATGTTGTGTCTCTAATTTCTAGGTGATACTCCTAAGGTTCATGTTGGTATTGAGTTCAGTAGGTGTCTAAAGGGATGCTCAGGAGTTTTTAGGGTGCTATAAATCTCCAGAAAGCCATCGTTGAGAATAATCAAAACGCGTTCTATTTAAAAGGACAGTGGTATTCTTTCTCGTTGAGTTAATTAACTGTTTTGATCGTAAATTACGTATCAAAACTGTTTACACTTAAATTGCATCTACCCCAGTTAAAGTGATACTGTATTGAGTTTTTCGATTTTGCTTTTGTGTATTTATTGCATCGAAGCATACTTGATCGACTTTTACTTGATTTATTTAGTTAAGGTTTGATAATCCTTTTACATATCCTGTTTTTGTCACCGTTCTAGTTGATTTTCAAGATGGCTTAATCTACTCATAAATGTGGACAACCATACTGCTTATTTCCCGTGAGTGAAAGGATGCAATGTGATGAGTGTAATAAGTGGTTCCATAAGATGTGCACCCGATTAAGCCCCACTGCATATAAAACGTGCTCAAAGCCCAACTCTCATTGGCTTTGTAGTTTTTGTTGCTCGAGCAAAACATTGCTTATCCAGGAAGCAATTAGTCCCCTGGTGTTGGCTAATAAGAAGGTTGATGAGGGCTGTACTGATAACATTGGTACTGATGGCGAAGATTGCGTTAGTGTCGTGAGTGCTGTTGTAGTGGCATAAGACCATATCCACACAATCTTAAAAGCTGAACACAACACTACTCGGAAAATAGATATTCAATATTTAACACGGAGAAATACCTACCAATGGAGAAGGCACGAACAATGAATTGAATGGACTGGAGTTGGTCGAGTGGCATGACTCGGCCATGCAGGCGTGGTCTTTGCTGAATATTACCTTGTATCTTCTATTCATATTAAATATATTGTTCTTCCTCTAGCTTAACCTTCTTCTACATCATGTATTGGTAATTGATACGATACAGTGATTTGGTGTAGTCGATGGTGTGACTTCCACGTAAGATCTTATAGATTAGACAGTTATATCATGACAAATCTACAATTTTAGGATTGCGTCTATTATTAGAGCAGTACTAATATCATAGTAGACCATAATTCTACACTGTCACGGCGCAAGCCAGACATCTAACTGTGCAACCCGCTATTAAACCGTCTATCCCAAAACAATCAATGAGTGGCACCTCATTAGATATTGGTGGCCATGTTGCTACAGCAGCAACCGGTGACCCAGATAAAACAATTACTGTCCCGAGTGGTTCTAATGTGGATGCTACGACTGATGGAATATGGATGACACGGAAACGCAGAAGATTAGGAAAGACAGCTAAAACCAATGACCGTTTACTTGATAAGTCCTTGGTGGACTCTCAGACCACTCCGCCATAGTACCATAGTAAAGCTCCGTCTAACATTGTTGTGAGTTACTCGCTCGACTCCCAGGACTCTGTTACGGTAAAAACTAATCTTAAGATACCTGTGGTTAAAATACAGGATCTAACGTCACGGTCGAAAGCTGACGAAAATAACCTTACCATTAAGGGTTTTCGGGTAGTCAGGTCTTGGAAGCCAATGCTTCCGAGGCCTGTATGGGTAGAACGATTGATTTCCAAGACACCTTAAGTGTGTGCTACACGAACGCTCGTAGTCTTAGAAATAAAACATCCGAGCTAAGTCTGATGGTGCAAGAATTATGTCACGATACAATCGTTGTTACAGAAACTTGGTTCACCGTTGATATAGACTGTTTTCCTTTCATTGCTGGTTATATCTGTATCAGAAGTGATAGAGTTTCGAGTCGCAAAACGGGAGGTATAATATTATACGTTAAGGATCACTTTCGTATACAATCAACCATATCGGAGGCTCATATCAGTGACCATGTGAGGTTGCATGTTGTAAGTTTGAATCTAGAAATGGGTTAGTGACTATAGGGGGAATATGCCGTAGTCCGTCTTGTCTTGCTGACGACTTTATCCTAAGACACATCTGTTCTTGGAGTATGGCAGAATGTTGTCTAATCATTGAGGACTTCAACGCACCGCATATCAACTGGATAGAGCTTACAGCTCCAGGTAGTGGTTTCGATAGCGACCCTTTATCTACCGTTATTCAGTGTGCACTTGTACAATGTATCACAAAACCGACACATATTGATTTCAATCATGATCCGTCATTGCTGGACCTCGCCCTCACTCACCACTGTGAGGATGTCTTTGATATCCAGCACCTTCCTCCACTAGTGAACAGTGATCACGTTGTAATTCACTTTAAGTTTAGGACACATGGTATACAATTCGTATCTGCTCCACCCCGTCCCAAAATCTGACGAGCTAATATTCCGGAAATCAGAAACTGTGCTATCTCGACTGGTTGGTCGGTTGACGCGGATGGATTGATCGAAGATGAATGGAATAAGTTTAAGGCTACATTCGAGTCCGTAACGTCGCCGTTTATCCCATGGTCAGCACGTAAGCTATCGCATTGCCCTCCATGGATTAATAAGGAAACCCGGAAGCTGTTAAAGCGTAGGAAACATTTCTGAGGCTTATTCTTGATGACAGGTCATGCACAATTTAAGCGTGAGTACCAAAAATACCGTAATATCTGTAAGAAAACCATAGCGAAATCCCGTACCACTTACGAACGACAGTTAGTATATGATAGCCGTACTTGTCCGAAACGATTGTTTTCGTATGTTAAACGGCAAATGAAACGTGGTGATGGTATTCCCTTGTTACTGTTACACGAAAATTCAGAATTACTCGCTGAATCAGATCGAGCAAAAGCTGAGACTTTTTCAGACAATTTTTTAGCGAAGTCTTCTCTATGTTTATTGTAACAAATACTTGTCCCACTCACACCGAGATACCAACCATTGAATCTGTACAGGTAACTGAGGAAACTGTCCTTCAGTTGATAACTAACCTCAAACTTGGTAAGATACCGGGCCCTGACGGGTTACGTCCACGGTTGCTGTCATCTCTTGCGGACATTATTTCAAAACCGCTTGCGACACTCTTCAGCATGTCCCTCTCACTCGCTCAACTCCCCAGAGATTGGAAGGACGTTATAGTTAGTCCTATATTTAAGGACGGTCAGTGACAGATAGTATCTAACTACTGGCCTGTCAGTCTAACTAGCATAGTCGTTAAGTTACTTGAAAAGATAATTCGGGTTAGGTTGCTAAGCCACATGGATTTACACAATCTGTTAGCTCCTGAGCAACACGGATTTCGTAACAAACGTTCATGCTTGACTAACTTGCTTATTGCGAGGGAGGATTGGACAGCAGCTCTAGATAACGGTCTGTCTGTCGGTGTGATATTCATAGATTTTAGCAAAGCATTTGATAAGGTATCACACGTAGGTCTTATGCGAAAGCTCACGAGCTTCGGAATAATAGGTACTGCACATGAGTGGATAGGAAATTTCTTATGTGACCGCAGACAGAGAGTTAGGGTCAACGGAACGCTATCCGATTGGAAGCCGGTCAAAAGTGGTGTAACCCAAGGCACCAACTTAGGCCCTCTGCTGTTCCTTCTCTACGTTAATGAGTTACCGCTGTTACTTAGGTCGTCGACATTATTGTTTGCGGATGATGTAAAAATCTGGAGAACAATAAAAAGTGCGGCTGATCATGTGGATCTTCAAGCTAACTTAGACGATTTAGTCAGATGGGCTCGAGAGTGGGGCTTAGAAATCAATGCTAGGAAGAGTGTACTAATGCACATCGGTCACGGTAATAGTTACGGTTACACTATTGAGGGTAAACCTCTTCCATGCGTTGAAGAGCATAAAGACTTAGGAGTAGTATTAAGTCATGATTTAAAAACAACTACGCATTGCAAAGCAGCCGCTGTCAAAGGTTTTCGTGCGTTATTGTCACTTCGCCGAGCGTTCAAATCTTTTGACGAGGAAACGTTTCGAATCTTATATCCCATATATGTTAGACCACATTTAGAGTACTGTATCAAAACAGCTAGCCCGTGTCTGGTAAAGGATACTAACTCCCTTGAGCGTGTCTAGCGTGTGGGAACGAAATTAGTGAAGGGTCTTTCTAGACTCCCTTACGATGAGCGTTTAAAACGCCTAAATCTTTTCCCCTTGTCGTATCGTAGGACACGAGGTGACCTTATACTGGCATTTCGTATCTTTAATTATGACTTGGGTGTTAATATATCTTATCTTTTTGCTCCCTCCAGCACTAATAATCTCCGAGGTCATAGCAAGAAGGTTCATAAACCACGATCTAATAAACTTAAAGTGGGGTCCCGTTTTTCTCATCGAGTAGTCAATGATTGGAACGCCTTACCCGAACAAGTTGTATCAGCTCCATCAGTGAATACTTTCAAGGAAAAGCTGGACCTTCACTGGAAAGCAATGTGTCATGATTAACACAGGTTCATCAACCTACTATCCTTAGTACTGAAGACTGAAGACTGATGTACGAAAACTCAGTGACTTATGGTGCTTTTCATTAGGTTTGAGTTTGTGTTATCAAACTAAATTAGTAGCTCGCCTCTGAATGCGTTCCAAAGTATTCTTATCCTTTAGTAGTAAAAGAGAAATTTTTTTATTTCCATATCCCGAATGTCCTTATTGGAAATTTCTACCGCCGAACTAGTCAAAATGTGCCTCAACCTTAACAGTGCAAGGTTTACTCGAAAAGCGTTTTTGTCATAAATAAAGCAAGAACAAACATTGATGCAGAATAGTATGAATTCATATTATTTCGAGGTTTCTCGTCAGCTGCTTACAAACCAAAATTGTGATAGAATTTTTACATGGAGATAGTGTGAAACAATTGACATAAATGAGTGTAAATA